CCTGCCTTCCCCTCCTGCCTTCCTCCCGCCACAGATGTGGGGGACACGGCTGTTTCCTCCCCAGCAGCCAATCCCTTCTCCTTCTGAGCAGAACCAGCTTTGGTTCCGGGTTCTCCTGGCCCTGGAAGCCCCCAGGCATCTCAGAAGGTGGTGACCCCAGCCCCAGGGCTGGCTCCTGACTAGCCTCGGCCCATCCTAGCACCCCAACCCCTGCGCCAGTGCCCAAGCTTAAGCCTGAGGACTCGGGGAGCCCATTCGGGAGCATTACTTCATCTCTCTCTACGAACAGGGAGGCACGTTGCCCTAGTTGCTGCCTATCTGGGGCAGCTGCAAAGAAGTGGGGAGTTATGGACTGGTCTCAAGTCAGCTAACGCTGAGCTGCTTCCCCCAAATAATTCACAACACCCTGCTGGAAGCTGCGAGAAGAGCTGGAACACCAGAGACTGGCCCCAGATCTTGACCTCAATCCCTAGCAAATCCTCAGCCCAGACGGCCTCTTAAAGATGCTCGCAAGTGTTCAGCAAATCATAAAACACCAGCAGCGCAGCAGCAGTTCTGATCTGGTGCCTACTCTGTGCAGACACTGGACTCAGCCCTTGGTAAGTATGAACTCGTTCAAGCCTATGGAATGGGGACTTCTTATCCCCACTGTATGGATGAATAAACAAAGGCCTAGAGAGGTTAGGGTAAAAGCAATACATCAGAAGCCGACGTGGGCTCAGGGTACTGAGCCGTTACTCTATGTACCTGTCTGCTCTATCGCAGACATTCAAGGTCAGGACACTAGTGTCCCCACACCCCATCTTTTTTTTAAGTTTTTTTTTTTTTTTTTTTTTTGAGACAGAGTCTCACATTGTTGCCCAGGCTAGAGTGAGTGCCATGGCGTCAGCCTAGCTCACAGCAACCTCAAACTCCTGGGCTCAAGCAATCCTCCTGCCTCAGCCTCCCGAGTAGCTGGGACTACAGGCATGCACCACCATGCCCAGCTAATTTTTTTTTTTATATATATATTAGTTGGCCAATTAATTTCTTTCTATTTATAGTAGAGATGGGGTCTCTCTCTCTTGCTCAGGCTGGTTTTGAACTCCTGACCTTGAGCAATCTGCCCGCCTCGGCCTCCCAGAGTGCTAGGATTACAGGTGTGAGCCACCACGCCCCACCCCACACCCCATCTTTGCATTTTTGAAAAGGAATGTTTTCATCACACTTCACTGTCTTCTCTTTTTTGCTATGATTTCTAGGTCAGTAAATCAAAGGAATATCAGGACTCATCAAATACATATATAACATTATTATCAACAAAAGTCCATACTTTGTTCAGACTTTCTAGGTTTCACCTACTGTCCTCTTCTTGTTCTAGGATCCGTCCAGGACACCACATGACATTTAGTCATCAGGTCTCCCCGGGCTCTGCCTGGCTGTGACAGTTTCTGAGATAGTCATTGTTCTAGATGACCTTGACAGTGTTAAGGAGGACTGATTAGGTATCGTGTAAAACATCTCTCAGCTGGGATTTGTCTGATGTTTTTCTCATGGCTAGACTGGGGTTATGGGTTTCGGGAGGAAGACCAGGGAAGTGGTCTTCACATCACATCAGGGCTGCACACCAGCAACATGACGTGCACTGCTGACAGTGACCTTGACCACCTTCTGAGACAGCGTTTGTCAGGATTTCCACTGCTGAGTTGCTCTTTCCCAACTACTCTTTCAAATGAAGCTGCTATGCACATTTCATACTTAAGGGGTAGGGAGTTATGCTTCACCTCCTCCATGGGGAAATTATCTACATAAATTATTTAAATTTCTTCTATATGAAAGATTTGCCTATTATTTATTCATTTGTTAATTAGTCATTCATCCAAATATATATATATATACACACACACACACATATTTTATTATGGCTGCATGGAAATTTGTTTCACACTTTGCAACCTTGTATATTTTGGTTTCTGCAAAGCATTTGGTCCTGGTATCGCTAGTATTGTGGGGGTAGGTGGTGAACTGTGAATAATTCTCCACCCTAGAGCACCAAGGGGATGGGAAATCAATGTTGCCACCTGATTTCTAAATAAATGAAACAGAAAACTGTCAGAGTGCATGGCATTTTGTAAGGGAGCCCCACCTGTTTCATAATGCATTTATGAACTCGGTGGGTGGCGAGTACGGATGGTCAACCTGTCTTTCCTCGGGTCTGGGTAAATACAGCGTGAGCAGAACCGCCCCTCCAAGCGCCTCCGGGCCCTGTCCGTGGTCCTGCCCTGCCTTTGTGATCAGCCTTGTGGATTCAGGCACAGGGAGCACTGCTTTCCCCAGCTTGCAGGCAGCAGAGCATCTCAGAGGGACAGAGACAGGAGCTTAAATTCTCCCTCTTGACTGATACAATGATATGAAACAAACAAGATGAAACTGAACAGGAATAAAGGTCAAGGAACAGGGCTTAGATTCAAGAAATCATTGACAGGCAACAGGCCCGATCTCTTCAACAAGTCGGGATCATTAAAAGAAAAGAAAAGAAAAAAAAAAGAAACAGGAATTGTGTTAGAGTAAGAGAGACTGAAGGGCCACAAGCACCAGATACACTGCACAGTCCCGCAGAGGAAACTGGTTTAAACCAAACAGCGAACACGGACATTTTGAGGTCAAACAGAGAAATCTGAAAAAGGTCTGCATATTCAATGAGCTGAAAATTTACTGAAGCAGGAAAGTGATGACCCTTTACTGGAAAAAAAAAAAAATGAGGTTACCAAACGGTGTGCACAGTATGATCTCATTTTATGGAGAAAATCTACACTTATGCACAGAAGCGGCTCTGGAAGCATCTGACAAAAGCACCACAGAAAGGCTCGCTGGAAGATGGGACCGCAATACTTTTGTTTTTGCTATTCTAATTTTCCGCTGTGCACATAGACTGCTCCTGTACTAATATAAGACGATGTTTCAAAAAGAACAAACCGCTGACCCTCCCCTCAGGGTAGGGGAGAGGATCCCTGGCCTGGCAGAGGTTTCCAAAACAGATTTCTAGAGGTTTCGGGGGACAGAAACTTACTATGAATGGAGAGTGTGGTGCACCATGCGCACGAGTAGGGGGTCTTGGGGCTGGAGCAGTGCTAGGGGGCTCCTGGTCCAGCCCCTTCACGTATTGCTAGCAAAACTGAGCCACAGAATGAGTCCATGGCAGCTCCAGGGACAGAAGCCAGAGGTTCGCTTCTGCTGGGGCATGCGGAAATGGTTCAAGGCTTCATAACAGGGGGTATCTGGCCTAGAGAAGGGAAGATGGCAGGGTGGGTGGGAAGGATCGAAGGGCAGGAGTGTTGTTTCCAAATATGTAAAGTCCGCTGCGTAGAAGAGAGACTCACGTGAGTCTCTCACAAGGGTGCAGAACCGTGATGACTAAGTGACAAGCAGGTTCGCCTCTGGAGTGTGTGAGGCAGAGGGTTCTAGGGAGAGGAGCTGTCCAGCCTGGGGGTAAGATGGTGAGGCTTGTGGGGGACACGTGGCCGGCGCAGTGGCCTCCTGCCAGGGGTTGCTGGGAAGCCCTTCCCAGCATGGAAGCTCTGTGGTTCTGGAACTCCAGGTTCCAGCCAGAGCTGGGTGGCTCTTTTGCCCCACCTGCAGCCTGCATCCTGAGAGGGCTGGGCTGCCCCCACACTAGGGTCTGCTCAGCCCGCCCCAGATGGAGCCACTGGCAAAAGGGAGGGCTTGCTTGGGCCTTGCAGACACAGAAGGACCATGGTGGCAGCAGGAAATGCCCCTGAGCAAAGCCCTGCGGAGGGGAGGGTGGGCTCCAGCAGGAACTGCAGTAGTGGGCTTCCCAGGACAGGGTGCCTAAGTTCTCAAACCTGACACCTGCCTCACGCTCCGCCACCGACTGCTCTCGGGACTCCCGGGACCCGGCCATGCCCAGGTGCCCACGCAGAGATGATTATCTATTATCTACTGCTCGTCAGGTGACAGGGAGGCACGGGCCCAACCTGGCCACCATCCAGCTTCTCTCATGTTCTAAAATGCTAGTCCTGACCTGTCCCTGGAACAAAATGCCAGCCAGTGCCCATGTGAGGCCCATGGCCCCAGGCTCCCCATGCAGGGCCTGAGGCCTTGGGTGGGTGGCCTGGGAAACCCACTACTCAGGGCTTCGGTCCCCAGGAGAAAACTGCAACCACTTCCGAGTGGGCAGTAGCATGAGGGTGGGGGTGTTCTCCCAGCAACCCTCTGCCAGTGGGAGCCCCGTGCCCCTCCTAAGACACAGTCACCAGTCCTCCTGCCAACAGCAGTAAGAGGACACTATTGGGCATTTATTGATGTTACTCTGTCCGCCGCACTGGCAGCACCGATTGTCGACCGGTAACAACCCTGCCAGCAACCCGCATCACTCCTGCTTGCTTTCTCCAGATAGATGCGGCCCCACCGCAGGAAAGCACTCTGCTCAGCCACCCGCGCCGCCGGCTCGGCTCCCGCACCGCCGCCAGCCAGGCCAGAGCCCCAATGGGAGGTCTCCAGGCCCTGGGCCGGGACTCCAGGATGGCCCCAAGCTGACACCTCCTGCGTTCCAGGCGGGGTGGGAGGGCGCAGTCAGGGCGCCAAGGCTGCAGAGCGCCCCTACCTGTCCCTTCCACCCCTTGGCTAGGCCCAGACGAACCCAGAGCCCGGCATCTCGGTCTGCGCAGGGTGGGCGCGGTGGAGGGCCCTGGGGGTCCTGAGGCTGGATTCTGACAGCCCCTTCCCCTCTGACCCCCGCCCCGGCCACATCCTGGCCCCGCTCTGCCGGCGAGCGAAGGTGTGCACAGCGGCCACCCTGGGCGTGACGCGTGACGCTCCCGGCACGGGCGCCAACGGTGGGGAGCGAGGGTCCGGCCGGGCAGGGGACACCCCGGGGCCCGAGGTCCGGGCTGCGGCGGAGGGGAGGAGGGGAGGGAGGCTCGTCCGGGGCGCGGGGGCCGCAGGGCGCGGGGAGGGCGGCGCGGAGGGGCGCGAGAGGCGGGAGCCCGCGGCCCGCTTACCTCCTCGCCCTGGCCGAAGCGCAGTCCGAGCGCCGCGACGCGCTCCACGCGCAGGAAGCCGTCGGGGTCGCGGCCGCACACCTCGAACACCTCGCGCAGGCGGCGCACGGAGCGCAGCAGAGCCGCGGGGGCGCCCGCCCAGCCCGCGCCGCCCGCCATCCGCGCCGGCCCCGCGGCTAGCCGAGCCCCGCCGCGCCGCCGCGCGCCCCGCTGCGGCCGCCGCTCGCGCGCGCCGCGCTCCGGGCGCCGGTCCGCCCGCGAGCCTCCCGGCGGCGGGATCCGAGTCAGCAGCCGCGCGCAGCCCCCGCGCGCGGCGGGAGGGGAGGGGAGGGGAGGCGCCGCGGGGAGGGAGGCCGCCGGGCGGCGGGAGGGAGAGGGCAGGCGCGGGGGGACGAGAGGGCGTGCGGCAGGAGGGCGTGGCGGAAGGGGCGGGCCGGGGCTGGCGGGGCTGGCGGGGCGGGGCAGCCACGGGCTGGCGGGGCGGTTGCAGCCGGCTGGGCGGGGCGGGGCGGGGGAGGCAGCCACGGGGGCTGGGCGGGAAGGGAGGAGGGCAGCACGGGGCTGGGCGGGGGAGGGGCGGCGGGGACGCTGCAGACAAAGGAGCCGCCCGCGCGGGGCCGGCAGTGGGAGCGCGCCGCGAAAGCCGTGTCCCCCGCGGACTCAGTTTCCCCCGGCGTCACCGAGCCTGCCTCTTCCCCTGGAAAGCGGGGTGGGCGCCCGCGGCGACTGGGTGCGCAGCAAGTGGCCGGAAATTCAGAGCTGACCGAGGGCGCCGCCCTCCTTGGAGAATTGAGTTTGAGGTGTGAGCCCCCGGCCACCACCTGCGCCGCGCCCAGCAGCCCCTCCTGGGCCAGTGCCCGCAGCCGCGCGGCCCGCCCCACTTAGCGTGCTCTCTGTGGGGCCTGGCGTGTGCCGAGCGCTCAGTGTGTTCCCGGCGCTCCGACGCTGGTTCGCGGTCGGGGACTGCATTCGTCTCTGGGAAAGGCAGACCCAGAGAGGCTGCACTGCTTACCCGAGGCCACACAGCTTGCGAGAGGGAGGCCTGGATTCATGCCCGGATCTGGATGGCTCTAGACTTCTTTAACCTTCTCTGTGCTGCTTGGGAACGAGCAGTCTCAGGGCACCCCTGTGTGGTCTTAGGGCACCCCGAGGCGGAGGAGGTAAAGAGATCAGGGTCAGGCAGGAGGAAGGAAAAGCAAAGGTGTGCCACCAGGCTGCCGGTTGCAGGGCCCAGGGTCCCCCAAGGCCTTGGGGAAGTTCCCTCCGTTCCCTGGTCCCCACCTCGTCACACCTCCCTGACAGCCCTGCTCGACCAGTAAGTCCAGGCAGACTCTCCATCCTGAGTGCTGGCCGCAGCCTCCAGACCTGGACCCTGACCTTCTCCCAGTGGTGCTTGTCATGCTGACTCCCAGCCCAACTTCAGGGCCCCGCTCCCTCCCCTCTCTGCCCTGCCCTGCTGAGCTCTGCAGGTCCTTGTGACAATGACTGCCCCCAACCCCAAAACCGCCCTTGGCCAAGCCCACTCCCACTTATGCTTTCCTGCTGGGCATAGAGGTGTCTTCCTCCAGGAAGCCTTCCCTGATGGCATCTTGCCTTCTAGTCTGAGTTCTGGGTCCCTCTTCCAGATGCCCACTTAGCTCTGTAAGTCTCTGGCGGGGTGCCCATCTCCCCCGCCAGGTTGGGAAACAGGGCCAGATATGTCTTAATCACCTTCGTGAGATCTCTAGCCAAGAGCGGACCCAGAGGAAGCCCCTGCCGGGAGGAGATGGCTCCATCACGTGCAGGAGCCAAGAGCAGTGCAGCGGCCCAGACAGGGAGTCCAGGGTGTGCTGGTTCTGCAGGTGGACTGAGTGGCCTCCCCATTCTGGTCCCCAGTTCCTACCTCTATGCTCTTCCTGTCAACCCCAAATAGATCCTGTGCGGGGACCGCGTGTGTGTGGCTTCTCTGACAGTGGGCCAGCCCCCTGCTCTGCAGCCCTGGCTCGGGGGCAATCCTGGCCCTTAGCTGCCCTTCCTCTGTTGACACTTGGATTCCCCTGGAAGCCACGCAAGGCAGTACCTCTTGGCAGGAGAGAGTTGGGGGTTTGAGGATCAGAGAGTCTAAAAGGTGGGGAAGCAGGAAGGGGAGGCTATGGGTTTGGGGTAGGGGTGTTCTGGGAAGAGGGTGAGCCTCAACGCTGGCTGGATGTCCCCCTGCAAGATACTAATGTTTTGGAGTCTCAGTTTCCTGCTCTGGGGACATAGGGGTTGTCGCACCTCTTTTACAGGGCAAGTGAAGGCTGAGCCATCCTGCCCCGCTCCCGAGGCCTGCCCTGTGAAGCGGAGGAGGAGGTGGGGAGTGAAGGACGGAAGATGGAGCGGCCTGCCTGCTGGAGGTCCAGCAGGCGCCTGGCAGGGGGTAGGGAGAGGAAGCTGGGGGCTGCACAGTCGCCACCCTGATCCAAGGTCAGCTCGTGCCCATTTGCTGTCACCCCAGAGGCTCAGCACAGAGATCGGCAGGAGCCGGTGCTGCCCCCTGGTGGGAGCTGAAGAAATGGCTCTCGGAGCTCTGCGGGGCACTGCATCCCCCAAAACCGGGCCAGGGGGGCTGGGAGACCTCACCCGCCTCATCTGGCAGAAGTGGGGGCCTCAGACCTGGGCGTGACCAAATCTCAGGTGAACCAAGGCAGAAGCCCACAACCAGATCTGCAGCTCTTCTGCCCAAAGACACCATCACGCCAAATTCAAAAGTCCCTTCCTCAGGGGAGCCCTCCTGCCCCCCGACTCTCCTTGGCCGGGTCCCTGTGCAGTTTTATCTCTGTTGGGTGAGGTTTGAAGGATGCCTGCCTCCGTCCCCGGATGTGGGCTTGGCACTGGGTCTCTTGCTCTGGGTTTGTCACATTGTTTTTACTGAACACCTATGCGGTGCCAGGCATGCTGGGGGGATAGAGAAAGGGGAGCAGCCTCGCCCCTGCCCTTGCTGAACTTGATGGGGTAGTCACGGCACAGTGTGGTCTACACTGAGGTCCCAGACTCTGGGAGCCCAGAGGGCCTGCCGAGTGCCTATCCATCCAAAGGACCCTCAAAGGTGGTGCGTTTTATAGGGTTCCTGGTCCTTGGAGGTGCATCTGGGACAGGCCCCGAGGGCTCCCAGCACGTTGATCTGAGAGTTCAAAGTGCAGCCCCGAGCAGATGTGGCAGGAGGATACCCATGCCAGGGCCCGCTGCAAGGCTGGGAGCCCCAGGGTGGAGGGGACTGCCCCAGGGAGGCCCCTGTTGATCAAGGCTGGGAGCCTCCTTTCCGCCCTCCTCTTCCTCCAGGTGACCTCTGATTCTCCAGGTGACTTCCAACAGCTGCAGCAGCCTCTGCAGGCTGGGAATACTCTGGGAAATACACATGGAAGGGGCAGTTGGGATTCCAGCCCATTCTCTAGGAACAGACACGTTTGGCCTGGTCCCTCCCGTGCTGAAAGCCCCTCAGTGGCCCTCATTGGCTGAGCTGGCTCCATGCACTGTCTTTACACTGTCTTTACATTCTTGCCTGTCCTCATCCCTGTCTGGGAGCATCCAAGCTCCCTCCTGCCTCTCTCTGCCTGGGGGAGGGGGGGTCACTATTCCCCTTCCCCCACCCCACTTCCCGTGTCCAATTTCTGTCCTTATTCAGTGAAAGTTGCACTTCCTACAGGAAGCCTTCCATGATCACACCCTCCTCACCGCCTTGACCTCCTCTCCCCTGTGCTCCTGCAGCTCCCGTGTAAAGAGGTGAAGAGTCGAGACTGTGGAGCCGCCTGCACAGGCGGGGCTGAGGCCATGGTGAGGGCCAGTAGGTGAGGCCATATATGCAAATGTCAGAACAGTGCCGCCGGTTGCTGTTGTCCTCCTGACCATCCTTACCACATTTTACTCCTGTTATCTATCACAAGAGCATCCCGGAAACAGGTGTGAGAGGTCACAGGAGTGACCATGATGTCCTTGAGGGCAGGGACTTGTCCATTTCTTTTTTTTTTTTGAGACAGAGTCTTGCTTTGTTGCCCAGGCTAGAGTGAGTGCCATGGCGTCAGCTTAGCTCACAGCAACCTCAATCTCCTGGGCTCAAGCAATCCTCCTGCCTCAGCCTCCTGAGTAGCTGGGACTACAGGCATGCGCCACCACGCCCAGCTAAGTTTTTCTATATATGTATTAGTTAGCCAATTAATTTCTTTCTATTTATAGTAGAGACGGGGTCTTGCTCTTGCTCAGGCTGGTTACGAACTCTTGACCTTGAGCAATCTGCCCGCCTCAGCTTCCCAGAGTGCTAGGATTACAGGCGTGAGCCACTGCGCCCGGCCTGTCCATTTCTCTTGGTTTCTCAAGCTCCCAGCTCCTAGCACGCTGCCCCAGACCAACCCAGTTAAGGACAGAATAAATTAAGGACTGGACAAATAGGTGTGTTAGGCTAAACAAATGTGTCCCCCCTCCACACACTGCCCCCTGGGCCAGGTGCGGTGGCTCACGCCTGTAATCCCAGCACTGAGGCCAAGGCGGGAGGATCGCTAGAGCCGAGGAGTTGGAGACCAGCCTGTGTGTCAGTACAGAGCGGTTTAGAACAGTCTAGAAGGGGCACATATCTGCATTTTCATCTATGGGCCTTGACTTCATAGTCCATGTTGTCTGGAAAATGGGGCAGGATTCACAGTTTCTTCCTGCTCACAACCTGCTGGGTTTTTTTAAAGCCATGAATAATTGTCACTTTGGAGGTGAGGAAGGTGGTGTGAACTTATTTGCTTTCTTCGCCTGTCCCAAAATATGCCTGGGTCAGCAGACAGAGAGGCTCCAGCTCGTGGCCACAGCCAGCGCTGCCTGGGGAGTGCCAGACCCTGGCGGGGCACCCCTGGGGTGCGGGAGGGGACCCCGCTCTTCCTCTGCTGCCTGAGCTCTTGCTGTGAGTGTTGTGTAACCCTCAGAAACAGGGCCGGCTGACGGCTGACGTTCCTTGCAGGAGTCTAAGCAGCAAAGCCCAAACCTTACTTATTCTACCCAGCTGGGCTCCAGACCCCCTCGTCAGCCACAGAAATGGACCCTGAAAGCAGCTTCCGGGCAGGGCACCAGTGGTCACCTCCCGGGTCCTCACTGTTTAGGACGCAGTGTCCGACCCAGGGTGAGGGTCTCACCTCCTACCCGCAGAACCCGTCACAGGGATCAGCACATGGCCCTGTTTCCAGCTT